CGCCCAGCAAGTAGACTTATAGGTTGGCACGCTGAATGACTTAGACATGCGCCCAGCAAGTAGACTTATAGGTTGGCACGCCGAATGACTTAGACATGCGCCCAGCAAGTAGACTTATAGGTTGGCACGCCGAATGACTTAGAAATGCGCCCAGCAAGTAGACTTATAGGTTGGCACGCCGAATGACTTAGACATGCGCCCAGCAAGTAGACTTATAGGTTAACACGCTGAATGACTTAGACATGCGCCCAGCAAGTAGACTTATAGGTTGACACGCTGAATGACTTATATATAGGTATAATATTAAGCAATAGGTACATAAAAATAATTTAAATGTAGACGACAAAGTACATGTTCAGAAATGTCCTTTTCCATCTAGGACGTCATGTGTCGTGGACCAATATCTAAATTCCGATCCCTGGTTGCCATAAAACCTATCTTGGTTTGTTTTTTTATCGCTCCCGACCGCCAGTAGTGCTGATTCCACACATACGTCTAGCAGTAGTTTCAATCCTCCCTATAAAAGAAGTATAAAACCCAAGTAGATTCCTCACGTAAAACTGTATACTCATGTAAGATGGCTTTTATTGCATTTCAGTTAAACCCCCCCCCCCCCCCACCACAAAAAAAAAAAAAAAAAAAAAAAAAAAGACCAACCCACAAAAACCAAGCGCCATATATTATTTCGGCCGTCTAAAAACGTGGTCTTGTATCACAAGGAATTCGCGTCCATTCGAAATGCTTCTGTGTTCTCGTCTGTATCAGACAGGGACTTCCAGCTCCCCCGTGCCTTCCACTTGGGTGGACACAATCTTTATTGCTTGTGATAAGTCAACTGGTTGGTCCACCTGATATTCGGGTTGTGGGAGGGGGGGTCGTTGAGGTGTATATCGCGTGGCCTTGAGATACGTTTTGTTTGAATTTGCCCGCGATGTCAGGTGTCGTTTAGAGATTTGCCTTATACTCTCATAAGGTCAATGCGAGTTGAAACAAAATTCCTTGACGTGAAAAATTCAGGGAAAGCGGTTTAAAAATGAAACAACCCTTAAAAACAAAGTTGTTCGCACCGATCCTTTATAAAAAGTCATCTGGGGCAACGGGGGGGGGGTGGACATTTGACAAAAAATGCTTACAAGTAGCGCACTTTATCCCAATTAGTGCTTTCCCCCCCGACGCCCCCCCCCCCCCCCCAAACCGCAAGGGCTCGCACGCCGCATATTTTTACGCCCCTAAACTATCGGCACCGAGTCCATGTGCCAAATTTTAGCTCGATGGGTTGACGGGAAGTGGGTCAATTAGACGTGCGAATGTGTTTCCAGCCAGCCATCCGCGAACGAACAAAAGCAAAGTTAATGTAAAGGATTTGATTACACCTTAACGAAGCAACTGTTAAAACAATTTACAGAACGTGGACGAAACATGTTTACTGATTATCAACAGAATAATGGCGCTCGTGCAGAAATGAATAGACAGTTGTTTGAAAAATGTCATTCTTTGAAAATGAATTTAATTTTCGAGTGACAATTACAAGATAACTGTCAGTTTTAATGTGAGTGACAAATGTAAGGTGTGATATAAAGCGTAGTGTCGGTGTTATTAATTAATACGTGCGCAAGTAAATAATAAATAATTGTTTGATGAATTTAAATATCTAAGGGGTGCTATGAAAACTAATGACTTAAACAGAAATGAACTTACAGAGAATGCTCGAAATTCGTGTATTGGAGTCAAGCCTTGCTATGATTGTATTTCTGGCCGAAGGCTTGTGTAATATATGCACTGGTCAAGTGCTGCGCGTTGTCAGTCGGGGGCGGATCCCAAAATAATGTAACCACAATGGCATGATG